CATCCTATCCTAAAAGTTTAACGTCCGTAGGGTGCTATAAACAACGTTTACTGTCGCTTGGGAGGACGATTTTCATTAAAAAGTGCAGTCGAAACGCACCGTCACTGCTACACGTTAATTAACGGAGCCCGAATTTACGACCGGAGTTTTATATTAGTTCCAGTAAACGTCGACGTCGTAAATCTCGCAAAATATCTACCAATTCAGACCAAAAATCCCTACTTCAAATAAGTGTTAAAACCCAAAAAGAAAACTGTATTTATTGTTTTATTTCAGAGATTAAGAAAAAAATGTATCCATCTGGATTAAAAAAATTAATAGGAATGATCTTGATTATTTTGAGCGTGGTAAAAGGACAACATCAACAGTATCTTTCAGCGTACGATTTCCTGAGTAATCCCCCGACATTTTCCGGTCACACGGGACCGGGAATAGTTGCCCAAGATAATAGGGGCCAACCCCATCCGGCTGTCGTCGAGAATTCCATTCGGGAGGCGCAGCTTCCCGAGGAGCTACTCAACGAGTTCTACAAAAATCCCAGAATTGCCGCAGGGTTAGCCAGGGAATCATGGTTCGGTGATAAGGAATTCCCCGTTCATAATAGGGAGGCCGAAAAAATTTCTAGGCTCGAAATTGCCAAGATTATTCGAAGAATTCAACATAAAGATCGATGAAAAATTTTAATTAAAAATTAATTAAGGATACAAATATTTTTGTAAATAAATTGTTTTTTTTTTATCAATTTTATTTTTTTTTTACATACAAGTTTATACATCATCTATAATCTTGCTTTGGATTCGTCATCTCCTTTTATGGCTATCAAATCAGAACTTCTGATGAACTGCACAAGTTGCTGATTTTCTGGTTTTTGGGTAAAGGATATTATGAACTTGGTTGGGTTCTGAGGAGGTTGTAGTAAATTGCTGGAAGTACCTCCGGGGAACATTAGGAATAGTCTAGAATAATCTGGCTCGTTTTCCAAACAAACTGGGGGAGATTAAAAACTATACCTAATTACTGCTGGTGATGATGCAGGAAAACTCAAGATCGTGTCCTCCAAACACCAAGACAAGGGCAAAGATGATAAGAACATTGACACTTTGGAAAGTATACTTTGTAATATGCGAGCTGATGTTATGGGACATCATGGATTTCCTTATGGAAGCTTGAAAATTGGATTCGAAACGTTTGAGAAGTAAGCCAATAAAGATTTCATCACATCTAAAATTGGATGAATTTTCTATTATCTGCAGCTAAGTTCATCGAGTGCTAAAGATTCATCAGACTGCAATCTGAAGTAATCTCCTTTAAAATCGATCTGATAGAGAAATGTTTTTAATTTACTATTAATTCTTTTATAAATTTAAAATTATATTTGATTTGAGTTAAAATGAAAGTTTAAACAATGACCGTATTGTTGTGGGGTTTTGTATCGTTACAAAAGTTGATTAAATTACTCTGTAGATAAGTTTTTAATTGAGGATACACAGTGGCGTTCGTTTGGCTAGCGGCGTTTATTTAAACAATAGCCGATCCAATTAACAAGAGCCGTGCTGTTACGGTCGTTTAACGATTAAAAAAAAAACGGTGTGTTTTTTTGGAATAAAAATGAAACAAGGAGACCTAAAGGGTATAAAATAAAGGGTCTCAAATAGAACCGAACGGCAATAAACTCCTATCTCTTCCAGTTCTTGGGTAACAATAAAACTTAATAGGAATTGAAGAGGCCTGTTTTCCAGAAATATAACCCAAGTTCTTATCGACTCTTTTTCAAAACGGTCTTCATCCGGTTTTCATCTGCTTTTTATCCGATTTTATAACCAATTCGATTCCAATTTTTATCCGCAATTTCATCCCAGATTTTTATACCAACATTTTTTAAAATTAGATTGAAGGTTTGTTTTTAAACAGCGATATGTCTAGATTTTACTGAATCGGAAAAACACAACGAGAGGAAAAGTCACGAATTTTTTTTCAAAAAGCTTTTTTTTATCTAACGATTTTTGAACGCAACTGCATTCGACAGTTTAAATCTAAAAAAAACATCAAATTTTGGATTAAATCTAATCTGACACGAAGTTTAGACACTGCTTCTCATCCTATCATCTCTAGCGAGTGACGGGGTAGAGAATAGGTTGGTGCATCGTCTAACTAAGGTGGTCTTATACTAATCTTAGATGATTTACCGTATAAACTAACGCCCGAAGCTTAAACCCACCGGGTTTCTAAAACGAATTTATGGCACAGGTGGGATATGTCAATATCCAGGGCATTTTTCGGAAAGGGATGAACACCATATGAGGATGGTTTAACGTTGATAAATCGACGGTTTATTTTTAAAATCCCCAAATACGGTTGATAAATTACTTATAAAAATTTTTTAGTCAAAAAAATCCAAATTTTTTTAGTTTTTTTTATAAAATTATAAATATTTTTATATTTTTTATTAATATAAAAGTTTATTGCACGCGTATTATCAATAAATTCTAATTTTTAATAAATAAATTCATTAGATATTTCTAGTGTCATAATCTTTTTAAAAATTTAAGTTGGCATTACATTTTAAGATAATTGACGTATAAATATTAGACGTAACCTCAATTTTTTTGTATACGTCATTTTTAATTGTCAAAAATGACAGTTCTTTTAAGTTTTTTAAATTAACGTTTACATTTTCTCCTATCAAGTTAACCCTTTGTGTCCCTAGTTTTAAACACTCGTTTTAAACTGTAGTCTATACAAGACAGAATCTGTATAAAAAATGACACAATCCGCACTGTAGGGTTTTTAGGTATACCTATTTAAACTTATTCATCCAGATGTGAAGTTAGAAGTTTAGTGAAAAGTGGTCTTGTTGAATTTTGTTGTTCAAAAAGGTATTTCTTTGATAAATGGTTATTAGGTGTGATTATTACAGATCATTTTAAAAAGAAAGCATTGAGCTTTAATTTAAAATAAGTCTCATTCCTTAATTTCAATAAATACGGCTTCCGGGAATTTTTAAATTAACATCTTTTTTGACACTTTTAGGTTATACGAAAATGTAAGTTTTATTTCAACATTATTTTTCTCAATATTTTTCCAATCCAACCCAACAATTATTATACATCATTTTAAAGAGAAAGCTTTGAGCTTTAATTTAGAATAAGTCTCATTCCTTAATTTCAATAAATACGGCTTCCAGGAATTTTTAAATTAACATCTTTTTTGACACTTTTAGGTTATACGAAAATGCAAGTTTTATTTCAAAATTTTTTTCTCAATATTTTTCCAATCCAACCCAACAATTATTATACATCATTTTAAAGACAAAGCTTTCAGCTTTAATTTAGAATAAGTCTCATTCGTTAATTTCAACAAATACGGCTTCCAGGAATTTTTAAATTAACATCTTTTTTGACACTTAGATTATGCGAAAATGTTAGTTTTTGCTCAATATGTTTTTTTTCAATATTCTATCAGATTTTGCTAATTTCTGATAAATAAATATTCAAATTTACTGCGTCCACGAAAATGTTGTAGCGTAAGTTCAAAAGAAAGAGGAAGTTGCGAAAATTGTTCTGCCAAAGCTAGACCCCACTCAAAATGTACTTTGTGCAATGTTTATTTATGTTGTAATGAAAGAAAGAACTGTTTTTGTATACTGAAAATATATTTTAATGCTTGACGGTACTCTCAAGTACCAATATCCCCCTGGAATGGGGGGATTGCATATTTTGCTAAAATTGATTCCAAAGGCCTCTACTGAATGTATTTTGATAGCGTTTTAATTCTGCCACAAAGTTTCAAAATTTTTGACTTCTTGGGACACAAAGGGTTAAGTTAGCTAAATTAATAATATAGACTGTAATTACTTGCATAGATAATTTATTCACGCTTAGACACCCAGTTGAGTTGTCAAGAGGAAGGGAAATAAATTCGATTCAGAAATTTTGATTGCCCTGACAGTTGCAGTCGTCAATAGAACTTACATCCATGCTGTGAAAGCGTTATCAGGTAGAAAAACTCACAACTGATGCTTTCTCCCACAATATTCAAGATCTATATCCACTCAATCTTAAAACATTGGAAAAGGAAATGCAACCCGATAGGCTAATGTTGGTGCGTGGACGACCAAATAGTTTTTGCAGAAGATGAAGGAGATATGAGGTATATGTTAAAGAAACTAGAAGGAAGAATAGAATAAATGAGACTTCGAAATGAAGAAAATTATAACGGAAAGGCATACACTTGGAAAGCGGCATAAGAAAACATGTAGATAAGTACGAATACCATGGGGTAGTTATAAACGAAGGCGGAGAGGACAATAAAGATGTAATAAGGAAAATTGGCAGAAATAAAGAAACGATAAAGGCAATGTATTTGATTTTTAGGGCCATTACAGAACCATTAATGACGTATGCGGGTGAGAGACAAAGACACAACTCGAAGACTGCTAGCAGCAGTCTGAGGAAACTCTGGCACAAAACTCTATAATAGAGTAACTAAAATGGTATGGACATTTACGTAAAATTTAGAATTATAATAAATTTGCATAGGGAATGATGCATTAGAGGTTTCTTGCAGTGACAACGTCATCTGGTACCCATAATGAAGATGCTGTTAGGAAAGAGCAAACGAGTATAAAGCTTTTACAAAAAAAAAATAAAGATCCCTTATACCCTTCGGCGGAAGGGTAATTAACCCGTAAAACTTAAGAACGGCAATTTCTCAACACCCCCTACCTCCCACTTTTTGGTTGGCTCCCTTCGAAGCACCACGATCCGCGACGTTCTTAGAACGCATAAATCCAGTGTGCAATTTACCGAAAACCCCGTTAGCCATGCTCTCTCTCTCAAGGGGCGGTTTAAACCAGTTTTTCCGACCCCTTATCTTATCCCTTGTCAGATGTAAACATTCGTTTTACCACACTAAGAAATGCTCTAATTAATTTCTCTTAAATTAATTAAAAGATTTTTAAAAAATCGTTGATTACAATAGTTAATAATAAAATAACCTACCTAATTCATAAATTCTCCTATTCGAGTCGATTTCAAGCAATTTAAATCTTAAAATAAACTAAAATAGTCGTCGAACTTTTCAAAAAACAACGTTCAAAACTCGAAAAAGTCCTCTCTTACTTTTATTTTTCGTTGCGAACCAAGTTAAAGTCGAAGAACTTGCAATCCACCGAAGAAAAATAAAATCGTACGCGCAAAAAGTTATCTCCTCGACGCGAAAAGTCGAGATAAATAAATTTAGTTGTAGCGCCGCCGTAACGTTTTCCGAACGAATCCGAAACACAGACTGACACGGACGTCCCGACGCCGCCACCGTTTCAGGGGGTGGTTTTCAGGGCGCACATCCGATCGCGCCGAAAAGACTGCGCGTTACGGAAGGAGATTTTGGGGTAGTGGTTTAAGAAAGTAAGGAATTTTCGAAATTCGTTTTGACGTGATATATCAATTTGAGAGTTTCTTTAAAGTACTAAAATTATTAGATTAATTTAGACAAATATAAATAATTTTTTGTATTTTCTTGGGGTAGTTTGAGATAAATTCGTTATTAAAAAAAATATTGATATAATTCCGAAGCAAGGAATTTAAATTTAAAGCTAGTTGGAAACGGCGGTGGTAATCGCGTCATTATTCAAGCGCAGGATGAGCGGTCGGTCTGAGGTCGATCGTGAGCTTCCCCGGGAGCTTTCGGACAAAAGCTCCGCGTGCTAACGAGGTGCAGAGAGAGAATTTCGATCCTAAGACTGTCTAATATTTTTTAAAATCAAATCCGCAATAACATCTAAATAATTTATTTCGATTTTAATAAATCACATCTACACAAAAACCCTTCATGAGCGCCCAATTTTATAACACGTTTAGTTAAAACACATATTTTGCTAGAGTAAAAATATTTAATTTATATTAAACAATTGTTAAAAACATAAAATGAAGTTAATTTTTCCAATCTAATAACATTTACAAACTACAAATTTAGGAATTTTCTACGGAATTTCATATAAGTCGCAATATATGAATGTAGTTCTAGTACTAGGTCTTGTGTTAGTTCTAGTGATAGTGCTAGTATAAAACTAGAACTAACACTAGACCTATCACTAGAAACATTCGGGTTTAGCCGCACGTCTCTCAAGACGGCTAAACCCGAATGATTCTAGTTCTAGGTCCTGTGTTAGTTCTAATGATAGTGCTAGTATTATAAGTATTTTATTATTTTTTAATATTTACAATTTTCCCTTCTACTATACATTCTACTATATATATATATATATACACCTCCAAATCTTCTACCCTCTTTCCACCCCTTCGTCTCCTCGCCCCCATCACCTCCCTCATCCATCTTTTGCCCTCGCCCTCCTCTCCCAAAATGTGCTTCCTGCCCATTGTCTCCTCCCTTAGCTCACTACACCCTCTCAGCATGTGTTCTAGCCAGTGATGGGCGTTAGGTAAATACCCGGCGGGTAGGTATTTCTAAAATGGGTATTTATCCTGGTATTTACCCCGGCCCAGGGTAAATACCCAAACAATGGGCATAAAAGTGATACCAGTAAAAATATATCAGATTCTAAAAAAAAATGAAGAGGAAGATGATGATGACGTTGAAGACGAGGAATTGTCAATAATCAAAGACGAATCTGTCGTAATTTAGATTAGATCAAGTTATTATGATTATTATCATCAAGCAGCCCTCTGCGTCCATTGTTGGACATAGACCTCCCCTGTTCTGTTCCATTCGATTTTATTCTGTGCTGTCTGAATCCAATTGTTGGTCAGTCTTTTGATGTCTACTTCGTCTGTTGGCTCGCGGTCTCCACTCAAGCAATCGTTTTGTCCACTGCTCACTCTTCATTTACGCGACATGACCCGCCCAGTTCCAGTTAAGCTTTGCCACAATGTTGACCACATCATTTACGTCAGTTCTTCTTCATAGCTCTTCATTTCGTATGTAGTCCCTCAGAGTTAGACACAGGATCGACCTCTCCATCTATCTTTGCTTTATTGGATCCTCCTGGCAGTGGCTACCATTAATGTTAATGTTTCAGAGCCTTATGTCATAACCGGAAACACGCATTGATGGAAAGCCTTTTCTATTGAAGATGTCTCTAAGTTTCCCGTAGACTGCCCATACGAGTGTGATCCTTCTGTTTAGTTCGCTTGTTTGATTATCTCTCTACACGAACCTCAGAGCCAAGATATATGTAGCTGTCAATCCTTTAAATCTCATTATCCCCAATGTTAACATATCACAACTATATCGTCCGCTTAGCGCAAATCACTTAAGCATTTGCAATCAATGTTTATGCCTTTTGGGTCTAATCCAGTTGTTTAAATGCACTCTGAGTACTGTGATGAACAATTCGGGTTCAACAGTGTATCGCATTGTTTTACTCACAATCAGTACTTTACTACTTCTATTCTCTTCAGTACTTTCATGCAATTTTACCGTCATTGTAGCATTCTTGTAGATGTTATAAGTAAGTTTGGTATATCGATAATCGACTCTGCATTCTTGAAGTGCTGCAAAACTGCCATCAACTCAATTTAAATAAAATTTTATAAATACCTCTAAATACCCATCTTGGGTAAATACCCCCGGGTATATATCCAGGCAACTTACCCTTGAAAATAAATACCCGGGTATTTAACAATACTGGTTCTAGCGTCTCCTAATCCTTTCCACACAGCCTACACCACCTCTCCACATCATCCGCCCAGTACCTATTCCCCCTCTCCTCATTACCACAGCGGAATCTGGCCACCAATCTGTTCCCTTCATCATCCCCCTCCATCAACAAATATTTTGGCAGTTCCTCTATCACTATCTCCCCATACTTTTCATTGTATCTCCCTTCTCGTATCTGTGACCTTCTTTCCTGCCTCTGTATATCCCCGTCCCTATGTCTCAGTTCTCTCCACATTTCACCTCTTTCCGCTCTTCTGTTTTCGAATACCCTGGGGTCTCCCTTGCCAACCCCAGTACCCATCTCCAATATCGTGTTTGTATATCCTCCAGCAGACCTTGTTCTCTCAATCCCCATACTTCTGGGTCGTACATCATTGTGCTCCTTACCAAGCCATCAAACATAACCTTTCTTTTTCCCACGTCCCTCCCAAAAGTTCTTTCTCCCCATCACCCTGTTCGCTCTTTTTGCCATCGCCCTCACGTGCGCCCCGACCTTATTACTTTCCGGGAAACCATATTCCTCCTTCTTTCTTCTTCCCCCTTTACAGAACTTCATTATCTTTGTTTTCTCGACGTTTACCTCCAACCCCTTCGCTTTAAAATATCTTTCCAGGGACCTCATCATCTCCTTTATCGTCCAGCATACCTCACTTAACTCTTCCTCCACTTTAACCTTGGCCATTTTCTCCCTGTACATCTCCTTCACCTTCTCTATCAGTTGTTCTGTTATACCACTCTTCCTCGTTTCCTCCCACAACTTCTCTCTATCCACGTTATTGAATGCAGCCTTCAGGTCAATAAACTTTCCCCCCTTCTTGTTCAACTCCCTATCTACCAGGTGTTTCAGAATGTATATTGTCAATCCGGCAACAATTCTTCCCTCTCCATTTCCTCTTCCAACCTCCCCAGCAGTATCTTTGCATAAATTTTGAAAGTTGTGTCCAACAGGGTGATCCCTCTATAATTGCTCACCACCCTTTTATTCCTCTTTTTATACAGTGGGCATATTATCCCCATCCTCCACCTGTCCGGAAATCTCTCCCCCAACCATACGGCGTTTATTACCTTCCATAGCGTCTTCGATACTGCTAGTATAAAACTAGAACTAACACTAGACCTATAACTAGAAGCATTCGGGTTGAAGACGCGCGGCTAAACCCGAATATTTCTAGGTCTAGTTATCTAGTTATCTTATGTTGACTAGCGCTACCTACAACTGTCACTAGAACTAACATTAGACCTACAACTAGAAACATTCAGGTTTAGCCTTTGAATACATTGAATATTTCCATAATCTCACGAACAACCAAAAAGATTGAAATGTTGAGAAGATGAAAAAAATTTCGTTTCCGACAAAATTATCATATTACAGAGCTGTATTTTTCAAAAATGTGCAAACGATCCGAAACCTTCATGTATGACTCAAAATCTGTTTATAATACATTTATATCCCTTAATACATCCCATAATATAAATACGGCCTTATAAATTAACAATTAATGTGTAAATTTTTGTTTTTTATAACTTTTTTTGCCATAAAGACAAGGTCAATATATTTTTTTTTCATCATGTTCAAAATACATAGTTACATGAATACTTTAGCGTTAAATCCTTTCAAATGCATAATATAAGGAGATATACAGTGTGTTAATTAATTATCGTACCAGACGTCATCATTGCAAGTATGTAACCAATATCACAGTACAGGGTGTCCCAATTTCGATGTGCGCATACCATTGAGGTCTTATATATAATCTAGAGTGCGTATGCTGTTGTCCCCACCACGCCTAAAATGAAGCCAGAACGGTCGCCATGTTAGATGTACCAACTTAGCGGGAAATTCGAAATTCTTATATATACTTATGCAAGAATTTACATTATTATAAACTGGAAAGACAGAAAATAATAACCAAAACAAAACATTAATTTNCGCCATGTTAGACGTACCAACTTAGCGGGAAATTCGAAATTCTTATATATACTTATGCAAGAATTTACATTATTATAAACTGGAAAGACAGAAAATAATAACCAAAACAAAACATTAATTTTTTATTGATAAATAATTATTAATTATATGATATTTTAAAAGAACTTAATAATTTTTAGCCATAACCCTTATAATTAACAAAAACTAAGAAGAAAATAAGCAATTCCGATTGATCACGTTAACCTTTGCTTATAAATAATTGTTAGTTTATTTTAAAAAAACTGAACAGTCCTTAATAATAAACATTACTTGAACTTCAATTGAAGACCTTGCTGCAAGAAGGGAGTAGCTCTATTTATCAAGAGAAGGAGTTGTCCCCTTCTTATACCGAGGTCTTTAATTGTTAATTCCAAGTCAAGTAACCAGAAACATTTTATGGACTGTTGTAAATAATCGTCCAACCTATCAAATTATAAAAAACATATGTGAAACGAAAAGAATTCGAAAACATTCAACAAAAATCAAATTTTAATAAAAATAACAATATGTTTATGAGAATTGTGAGGTTATAATTGTAGGTACAATAGAGATTTGAAACTATAGCTAAGTTCAGGTCGGTACATCCAACATGTCTGACTTTCTGTTTACCCCCACCACCACCACATACGCTCTCTAGATTATATATAAGACCTCAATGCCGCATAGGCTATCTCCGAAACTAAAAGAGATAGAAAAAAAAGTAGCTTACATGTCATGATCTTGTTTTTCAAGAAAATGCTAATGCCGAAAACTCCGAACAGCTATCGTCTTTTGTTTTCGCCCTATCGGCAAAAACTGACAATTTTGCGAAAACGACAATCGCGAATACCTCACTTATTACCAAAGATGGAGTATTATAAATAAAACATTATATGGGCAACTTTTTACGAAGAATTCAGTGGCGTAGGAACAATTTTTATTATTTAAAAGGGCACACCATACATTGAACCCCAACCTTCTTTGAACACTCAGAGACTTCATTGGTCCAGATGACATTTTGAACAAACAGCAGATTATTTAATTTTTCTAAATATCATCTACAAAATTCTAATCTTAGATTGACATCTCCGGCACGTAAATAATGAGTTAGCCCCGCTTTGTATGGTTTATACATACTTTTCTTTCATATTCGGGAGCAGCGGTTTTTGGGTCAGACGTCTTGTTCAATTTTTCTGCAAGATGTTGATGGATTTATCGCAAGTGAAGCCAACACATTGACTTCATTCTCTTGCAGGCCATTTTGGTATGTTTTGTTACACTTTGACACTTAACATGCTGGTGCATCGTACCAGCTCATAATGCCAGAGTTGTTATCAAATTTTTAAATACAAACTTTGGCAATTATTTGATGCATTATGTTCTATCATAGTATGTATGGTTATCACCATAGCAACATTAACTTTTAAATACATACATTGGTTTTAGATAGAACAAAATTAATTTTTGTTAATTATTCAATAACTATAAGAAATATACCCCACAAACTATATATATTTGTTATCAGAAGGAAATAACAAATTATTTTAGGTCATAGCCAACTATGGTTTCCATTTAAAAAAATAAAGTTACGCTTAAAATCTCGAAAAAAAAAGGTGGGAAAAAAATTGTTCCTACACCTCTGAATTCTTCGTAAAGAGTTGCCCATATAATGTTTTATTTATAATACTCCATCGTTGATAATAAGTGAGATATTCGCGATTGTCGTTTTCGCAAAATTTTCACTTTTTGCTGATAGGGCGAAAACAAAAGACGATAGCTGTTTGGAGTTTTCGGCATTAGCATTTTCTCGAAAAACGAGATCATGACATGTAAGCTACTTTTTTTCTATCTCTTTTAGTTTCGGAGATAGCCTATGCGGACACCCTGTACTGGTATTGCTATATGCGATTTGCGTATTGCACTGTGATATTGGTTGCATACTTGCAATGATGACGTCGGGTACGATAATTAATTAACACACTGTATTATAAAAACGAAAATTGTCATAAATTTTATGATATCGCGCCCTCTCGAAGATTAATAAATCAATATATTTTATTTAGCTTTATTTTTAAACATCCTGCCGATAATGGCACACCCAGCTTGGTTAATTTCTTCGTATCCAAACCCGGTCATGGCATTTTTGGTGCGTTGAAACCAAGCATTTACATTTGGAAACTTTGAAATGTCAACCCCAATCGCTTCCGCCGTTGAAACGGTGGAAATCAAAGCGAAATCGGCGATGGTCAATTGAGATCCGGCAGCCCACGTTTGATTTTCTAAGAATTCGTCGAGATAACCAAGCGCTTCCTCGAAGTTCCCCAATTTCTCTTTATCCGGTGTTTGGGCATGTCGTAAAACTGGCCCCATATACTGTACCAATCTCGGCATTAAAGTACAAGCATCGAAATATAAACGTTGATTGACGATGGCCGCTTTTTTCGCTTCTTTCGGCGATAAAGAATCGTCTTTTGCGTATTGATCGACGAGGTATTGAAGAATTGCGCGGCTTTCGAATAAAATAAAACCGTTATCGTTTAAAGTTGGGATTGTATGTTGTGGATTTAGCTATAATGAAATAATTTATAACTAAAAAAGATTAAAAATGTTATAGTTACTCGTAAATATTCTGGTGTCATATTGTCGCCGGCTAAAATGCTGGTTATTTTTTGATTCATTTGCACCCCTAAAGCTTTGGCTAAAAGCATGACAGATCGACATGGTGGGCTTGGTAAGAAATAATAAAAATCGATGTTTGAATTAGGCATTTTATCTTTGTTGTCAACTCTACAAAAAGTATTAATGAGTCAAAAAGAGATTAATAATCAAATTTATACCCTTTTTCTTTGGTGAAAACAGGAGTTATGGTTTCGTTTTCCATACAATTCCCCAGCTTGATTTTTTTTTAATCACAACAGGTGAAGTTACATTCCTGAAGCAAGCGCGGTTACTAATAGCACAAATTCCCCAATGACCCCCTTTTTTTAACAGTTACGTTGCTATAAGAGCTTTCGATACAAACACGATGGAGTCATTTTCCGGTTTAAAAGGGTTGCGGTTTTCCCAGCGGATTCATTAAACATTTATTTATAACAGATTGGAATAGAATAATTTAAAAAATTTTTAATTATTAATATCTTTATTATCAAATTACAAGTATTGCTTTATTATTATATTTATAACACCCACAAAAAATTTTATTATTACAAAAATCATCACAATCTTAAAAAAAAAATAAATCATTTAAATCTAATATTTAATACCTCTTTGAAGCCTTTGATATTTATCGACAGCGTCTTGAACGAAAGAAGCGGCAGCTGAGATATTATCAACATTAACCAAAGATCGAACTGTTTCCGGGTTAATTTTGCGAAATCCATTAAAAGTTAACGTGCAGAAAGGAGTATAAGTACACAGCAAGCTCGTAAATAAAGCTCCAATTAAAATAGCTGCAGCCGTTCCAACGACATAAAGACTAATCCGGGTGAATGTTTTCAAAAACATGGCAAGTCCAGTCTGTAACATTATAACGAAGAAATTGAAGACGATGTACTCGATTATGGTGATCTCAAACCATAAGATAATCAATTTTAACAAAAATATTATGATTAAAGATGTTGGTTTACTTACGGGTGGTTGAGATGTAATCGCCTTTTCTTCATCCGGGTTATAAACTGGTCCGAGAGGGATTAAATAATTGTCGTAACCTGAATTTGGATAAGTTTCAGCGTAAGGATAAACTTTGTGGGGAATAAACGGTTCGATTGTTTGTGGAGATGTTGTTGTTGAAGAAATTGTCGAACCAATATCTCCCGTTGCAGCTCCATTTGATGTTGCGAACAAAATAAATGCAATAACCACAAAAAATAACATCTTGTTCATGAGACTCAACGTCGCGAAGCAAAGTAACGAATTTTGTGGAAATTTGAAAGTTTAAGGGTTTATATAGCTTGGATTCTTTGGGGGTAATTTTTGGCTTTCAAAAACAATGTCTTTGTTTTTATCTTTTCTACCTGGGACGGTGTTATCTACAAAAGTTAAATCTTCTTTTATCTTGACACGTATTTACGTGATTTTTGCTTTTTGTGCGTTTCCTGTTTGCACAAAAACCCATTTAAACAGGTAGTAAATGCACCTATTTATTGTTAAGTCATGTTTTTAGGAACTTCCCTTCTACATTTAAAAGGTTTCTTGTTGATAAATTTTTCACTAAAATTAGTTTCTACAAAAAATGCACCTAAAAAATTTTATCTTAAGAAAATAAATTATTCCAATATTGATTGTAATTGAGATATCATAATGATAGAAGGAACATTTTAAAGCTAATTTAATAAGGATTTAATGTGCCATAAATAATTTCTTATTTTCCATAAACACCGCTTTTATGATTTATTAAATTCAACTCTATAGTTATCATAGATGATGAATGCATTTTAAAAAATCGTATCTCAAGAACGAATTGAGATATCATCACGAAATAAGGAACATTTTAAAGCTAATTTAATAAGGATTTAATGTGCCATAAATTAATTCTTATTTTCCATAAACATTGTTGTTATGATTTTTTAAATGCAACTCTGTTCATTTGACTGTTATAGATTTTTAAGTAGAAATTCAAAAAATCGTATCTCAAGAACGAGTTGAGATATCATCATGAAATAAGAAACGTTTTAAAGCAAATTTAATAAGGATTTAATGTGCCATAAATAGTTTCTTATTTTCCATAAACACCGCTGTTATGATTTTTTAAATTCAGCTATGTATAATTATCATAGACGATGAATGCAACTTAAAAAAATCGTATCTCAAGAACGAATTGAGATATCATCACGAAATAAGGAACATTTTAAAGCTAATTTAATAAGGATTCAATGTGCCATAAATTAATTCTTATTTTCCATAAAGATTATTGATATGATTTTTTAAATGCAACTCTGTTCATTTAATTGTTATAAATTTTTAAGTAGAAATTCAAAAAATCGTATCTCAAGAACGAGTTGAGATATCATCATGAAATAAGAAACATTTTAAAGCAAATTTAATGAGGATTTAATGTGCCATAAATAATTTCTTATTTTCCATGAACACCGCTGTTATGATTTTTTAAATTCAACTATGTATAATTATCATAGATGATGAATGCAATTTTAAAAAATCGTATCTCAACAACGAATTGAGATATCATCACGAAATAGGGAACATTTTAAAGCTAACTTAATAAAGATTTAATGTGCCATAAATTAATTCTTATTTTCCATAAACATTGTTGTTATGATTTTTTAAATACAACTCTGTTCATTTGATTGTTATAGATTTTTAAGTAGAAATTCAAAAAATCGTATCTCAAGAACGAATTGAGATATGATCATGAAATAAGAAACATTTTAAAGCAAATTTAATAAGGATTTAATGTGCCATAAATAATTTCTTATTTTCCATAAACACCGCTGTTATGATTTTTTAAATTCAACTATGCATAATTATCATAGATGATGAATGCAATTTTAAAAAATCGTATCTCAAGAACGAATTGAGATATCATCATGAAATAAGGAACATTTTAAAGCTAATTTAATAAGGATTTAATGTGCCATAAATTAATTCTTATTTTCCATAAACATTGTTGTTATGATTTTTTAAATGCAACTCTGTTCATTTGATTGTTATAGATTTTTAAGTAGAAATTCAAAAAATCGTATCTCAAGAACGAATTGAGATATCATCATGAAATAAGAAACATTTTAAAGCAAATTTAATAAGGATTTAATGTGCCATAAATAATTTCTTATTTTCCATAAACACCGCTGTTATGATTTTTTAAATTCAACTCTGTATAATTATCATGATGATGAATGCAATTTAAAAAAATCGTATCTCAAGAACGAATTGAGATATCATCATGAAATAAGGAAAATTTTAAAGCTAACTTAATAAGGATTTAATGTGCCATAAATTAATTCTTGTTTTCCATAAACATTGTTGTTATGATTTTTTAAATGCCACTCTGTTAACTTGATTGTTATAGATTTTAAAGTAGAAATTCAAAAAATCGTATCTCAAGAACGAATTGAGATATCATCATGAAATAAGGAACATTTTAAAGCAAATTTAATGCGCCATAAATAATTTCTTATTTTCCATAAACACCGCTGTTATCATTCTTTAAATCCAACTCTGTATAATTATCATACATGATGAATGCAATTTTAAAAAATCGTATCTCAAGAAAGAATTGAGATATCATCATGAAATAAGGAACATTTTAAAGCTAATTTAATATGGATTCAATGTGCCATAAATTAATTCTTATTTTCCATAAACATTGTCGTTATGATTTTTTAAATACAACTCTGTTCATTTGATTGTTATAGATTTTTAAGTAGAAATTCAAAAAATCATATCTCAAGAACGAATTGAGATATCATCATGAAATAAGAAACATTTTAAAGCTAATTTAATGAGGATTTAATGTGCCATAAATAATTTCTTATTTTCCATAAACACCGCTGTTATGATTTTTTAAATTCAACTCTATATAATTATCATAGATGATGAATGCATTTTAAAAAATCGTATCTCAAGAACGAATTGAGATATCATCATGAAATATGGAACATTTTAAAGCTAATTTAATGTGGATTCAATGTGCCATAAATTAATTCTTATTTTCCATAAACATTGTTGTTATGATTTTTTAAATACAACTCTGTTCATTTGATTGTTATAGACTTTTAAGTAGAAATTCAAAAAATCGTATCTCAAGAACGAATTGAGATATCATCATCAAATAAGAAACATTTTAAAGCTAATTTAATAAGGATTTAATGCGCCATAAATAATTTCTTATTTTCCATAAACACCGCTGTTATCATTCTTTAAATCCAACTCTGTATAATTATCATACATGATGAATGCAATTTTAAAAAATCGTATCTCAAGAACGAATTGAGATATCATCATGAAATAAGGAACATTTTAAAGCTAATTTAATAAAGATTTAATGTGCCATAAATTAATTCTTATTTTCCATAAACATTGTTGTTATGATTTTTTAAATGCAACTCTGTTCATTTGATTGTTATAAATTTTTAAGTAGAAATTCAAAAAATCGTATCTCAAGAACGAGTTGAGATATCATCATGAAATAAGAAACATTTTAAAGCAAATTTAATGAGGATTTAATGTGCCATAAATTAATTCTTATTTTCCATAAACACCGCTGTTATGATTTTTTAAATTCAACTCTGTATAATTATCATAGATGATGAATGCAACTTCAAAAAATCGTATCTCAAGAACGAATTGAGATATTATCACGAAATAAGGAACATTTTAAAGCTAATTTAATAAGGATTTAATGTGCCATAAATTAATTCTTATTCTCGATAAACATTGTTGTTATGATTTTTTAAATGCAACTCTGTTAACTTGATTGTTATAGATTTGAAAGTAGAAATTCAAAAAATCGTATCTCAAGAACGAATTGAGATATCATCATGAAATAAGGAACATTTTAAAGCTAATTTAATAAGGATTTAATGTGCCATAAATTAATTCTTATTTTCCATAAACATTATTGTTATGATTTTTTTAATGCAACTCTGTTCATTTGATTGCTATAGATTTTAAAGTAGAAATTCAAACAATCGTATCTCAAGAACGAATTGAGATATGATCATGAAATAAGAAACATTTTAAAGCAAATTTAATAAGGATTTAATGTGCCATAAATAATTTCTTATTTTCCATAAACACCATTGTTATGATTTTTTAAATTCAACTATGCATAATTATCATAGATGATGAATGCAATTTTAAAAAATCGTATCTCAAGAACGAATTGTGATATTATCATGAAATAAGGAACATTTTAAAGCTAGTTTAATATGGATTCAATGTGCCATAAATTAATTCTTATTTTCCATAAACATTGTTGTTATGATTTTTTAAATG